ATATATATATTATATATTTAAGTATGTGAGTATTATATAGACGGTTAGGTGTTTTTTTCTTTCTATCCTAAATTTAAACATTGTTTTTTAGTAGTAAAAATATTATACCTAACCGTTTTTTCGTTATTAAATTTTTATGTTTTTATTCCTTCATAAAATGTCAAAAAAATATACTAATTATAAAATTCACAAAAAATCAAAGTTTTTAACTAATTTATATAGATTTTTCAGTTGTAGCGTCTCTTTATAATTCGACATTATTATATTATATTCAACATCGAAAAATAGTTTATTATTTTAAAATTTTTGAGAATCTGGTAATTCAATTATTTTCTAATCAGAAAAAAATTAAGAATGAAATATTTATTCATATAATAAATGAAATTATTCAGATAATTAACTTAAAATTTGCATACATATATCATACCTAATCTAGTCATATATGTGATAAATACAATTTTTTTTCGATATAAAACTTGTTTGTATATTTTTATACGCACTACTTCTTATTATTTTGTATTTATAAATATTATTATATTTAATATACAAAAGTTGAATATGAAAAAAAAAATAACTATAAATGATATATTTCTATATATATTTAAAAAAAAGTGTGTAATCTAATTAATTTAGAATGAAGTAAAATTGTGATATGAATAATACGATATTCATGTTTCTATTGCTATTATAATTAGCAATTTTCAAGCATAAAAGATTCAATTGTATGTAAAATCTTAGCTACTATAGAAATTTTATAAAATGTCATGTTGAACAGAGGTATCCAACATAATTGTCGTAAGGCACCAATGACAGTGACACTAATTAGGTACAACTCATGATTTTTCACTTAATAGATAAAGTTTCATAAAATATTTTTATACAATGTTTACTATTCTTATAAAATATAAACATCAAACAGTTGACATTGTCTAATTAAACTAATACAACTAATATAATTTGTGCTCAAACATTACACATTCATTACGAAATGTTCAATAAGTCATAGCGTTAAATTATATAACAGCGAAATAGTATTCACATAGTTTGAAACGGTTTTTGTCAGTTAATAATACATTCAGTGTGATTTGAGAAATACATTATAACCAGAGTGGGTGGAATAATGTGTATCAAATGTGATTGAAGCGAATGAAGTAAAAAACCAATAATTTATTTTTTTTCATTTAGGTCATTAAAGAAATACGAAAGAATTATATTATCACAAACAATTTTTTTATCAACAATTCATTATTCTTGCATACCACGTCTTTGTATCGACCAAACTTTTCAACTTTGTATAACATTTGAGAACAAAAAAAGGACAAATAATTAATATCATAATATATATACTTTTTTAAATATCATAATACCTAACTATTATAAATTCAAAGCGTCTTAGTAAATGTGTTTAAGTTTTATAATTCATTTTTCGTTAGATATTTTAATCATATTTATTAATAAAAGTATATACTTCAATTTAAATGTACATAAAATGCACATTAAATATACAAACATTTTAAAGGTTATTTTTAATCATGAACAACGCATTATCTTATAAACAAAAAATACAATTTTTATGTAAATTAATTGTTATACTTTTAAAAAATATTATTTTAAATTGTTTATTTTTATCTATATTTGTTCTTAAACTTTGAAAATATCTCATATTTTCTAATATATGGCCTATTTTATGATAAAAGAATCATCTAACTTGTATATAATATAATATATACTCAATACTCATATTGCATAATATATTATACTCGTCAATCAAATTCTAGTTCTTTATTATTTATTCTGTCGGTAAACGTTCCATTGGTCTTGTTACAGTGAACAAAAAAATAGCCATAAAACGTTTTATACACATATACTATAATATTATGTAATATTTAGACCAGTGATACATCGATACGTCCATTTATAACGTTCGCCTTGCGTGAGTAGTTGACCTATATCCTCTAATACATTATTCTAATATGTGGCTATTTCGTCAAAAAACGACATAAATCACACTGGAACTTTATTTCTGCGGTACAATATCAGCGAAAAAAACATAGTTTTATACACTCACAGGATATGTTTATGGTATACTAGACGTATATGGCTATCCAAATTTAAACATCTCACCCTTTTTGTACGGCTGACATTTGACCATCACACTCCATGTTAGTTGATACAAAGACAATACTAATAATAAAGCATTGTCTTGGAAAAATAATTTAAGAATATCGAATTTTACCGAACCAGATTCATTGGCGATGCTCCAAATACATTCTCCCACACAATCGATAGAGCGTCTTCAACGAAAATATTTCCCAGGATACAGGTTTAGGCTGTTAACGAATGAAATAAAGGGATTTCGAAGTTAAAACAACAAAATTCTTGATCATTACCTATTAAGAGTGTTATCTATATGATAATATTAAAGGTGTTTGTATACAATTATAATAATGCTTGTAATTTATTTTGAGAATCTTGATAAATCTAGTATATTAACTGTCTTAGTATACGTTTTAATAGAAAACTGAAGATTACTTTACAAAAATGGTACCATTTATCAAGTGAAATATTGATTTTAATATACATCTACTTTTTTTCAACATTTTAATTCGATTTAAAACGCCATAAACTCGCAGTGAGCTAATATATAAATTCTCAATTACAAACAATTTTCAAACTAATCATGTTATATGTTTATACTTTATGCTATATATTATGCACATGTGCGAAATCCCTATATTTTTTACTACAATAATAAATTAATATGACATCAAAAATACTACATAATAATTTCTAACTACTCAATGTTAAGATAGGATTTGGTCCCTTAAACTTCATGTACCATGGAGTGGAAATTTTCGATTTTGATCGGAAACATACCGTCACCCATAACGTTAACTAAGATGTTTATTTTTATAATTGAAAAATATATTAAAATTTAAGAAAGTAATTGTTCTTTTAAAATTTTTAATTTTTAATAGGTATCTATTTAATTATTAATATGTTTTTTTTCGCACAAGTCATTTTACATCTCAAATATTATTGTACCTATGCAATGTCAATATCAAAGCATATAATACATAGACAATCAATTAAAACTTTCTAGAATTGACATGTTCTTGTCTTCCACATCACCGATTCACACTTATTATATCGATGTCTATTAAAATAATTTAATAACGTTATAAATCTCATTTAAGCGGTAAATATTCATATAATATATCATGACATAAATAATAAAAAACGACGATATGAACAATCACAATTAATATTTGAATACCACGTGAATGTTTTATTAAAGCGTTCCTTATATCTCTCTAAAATAGTGCAATATAATATTATATTTAAACACGATATACGTAAATACGTTCAATTTCAAATAGATTTTGCAGTCATAGAGGAATACGCAACGCTATTTCTACACAAAACTATGAATAATATAAGTAAACAATATGTGTTCTACCATTATGGGACGTCCAACGTGTAATTCTTTTTTATAAACAAGCTGCTAACTGTTTCAGTTAAATGTCTTCTACATTTCAAATCATTATACATATTTGTGGACGGCAGCGTTAAAAAAAAAACCTGTTAGTTATAAATCATAATTCGCAGTTAGAATTTGATCACACTGCATATACTATAATATATGTGTATTCAAGAACGACATTGTTATGATAAGACACTTTGATCATAAACTATTTTGAAACAAAAGCCGATGTGACGGATGTGGAGACGACGGATAGTGGTTAGGTGGACACAAAAAAAGACAACCACTGCTACTGTTGTAAGATTAGATGATCAACGGAAAATAGCGTTATTATCCTTGCGCCACGAGTAAAATGTAAACAATTATCGTAGAATCAGCCTAGCTTAAACAGTGGTTGCTGGCGTATAGAATAACGCTAATTTATAGAACATCGTGAAAACAAAACATTTATTATCTAAATCTAGCGAGCACGAGCCAAATACAGTTATCACGGTTGAAGACCTAGGTTAATAGGAATTGAATTCTATTCTACGACACTTATTTAGAATTAATTTTATTTGCATTTTAGTATTTTACTATGATATGGATAGGGTTCAAAAATCCCAGAAAAAATTATTTCAATAATATTATTTTTAGGATATATACGTCTATAGATACGTAGTAATTATTACTTACCTGCTATCTATATTATATTATTACGAATAAATTGTATACATAACCATAAGTGAATTGCAAAATATGAAATATGATTCAGGATTATAACCCATAATAATTAAACATTTCAAAATAGTATATATTTATGTCCAAGTAATTCAATGTTGTAATTTACTAATAGGTAATTTAAAAAAATTATTATTTCATTACTTGAGAGTTACATTATTAATTATAGAAATGTTGTTTAATATAATTTCGTTTAAATGCGTCCCCAGAGTAATTAATTTAATTAGGTTTTCATTTTTTTCTCTTTCTAAATGGTTCAAATAGATCCTGCAGTTTTTTACAATATCAACATGATGCAAATTCTGAAAAAAATTACATTGATATATAAAGGAATTTAATTTAAATTAACAAAAAAAAAAAGCAAGTTAGGGTAGTGGTGACTCCTACTATCATGCTAGTCGTATAAAAAACTAAATTCTCTTATCACATATTCTTATTGTTCCCTAGGGAATAAAATTGTATAAACTTTTAAATAAATAAAACGTCTATAAAGGTATTTTGCTTGGTACAATCTTGTACTTATAAATAATAACCGTATCGTAATTATATAGGTTTTGAACGTAAAATGTTAAATGTCGATTGTTACTTTTTATACGTTAAGTATAATTACCCTAACCAAATATACAATCCGAACACTAACACTCCAGAAGAATATACTATACATAATACTACACACGTGTTATGAGTAAACCTTTTTTTTTATTTTTTATTAAAAAAAACTATTTTTATCATTGATCATGTATATTCACTCAACGCACACATAACTTTAAGACTTTAAGACGTCTGACCGACTTACCTTGCACGAATCGCACGACTTGGCGGAGTACTTTTGCTTGCAGTCGTACCTGGCCAACACCTCGTTGAACTGACATGACATGGCGGCCGCGATGTCGTCCATATCGAGCGCTTTGTTCACCTGGTCGACGCACGACTCCTTGTCCGCGTATGGCTGCTGCACGACCGACTCGACGGTGTGGTGGCAGCAGTGCCGGAGCCGGTACCGGGACAGACGGCCGGGTCGGCGATAAGCACCCGGGTCGTCCGGGCACATGGCCGGTATGAGCTGCCGATGGGCGTATTCAAGGCACTGATGATTACTACTACTACTATTATTATTATTATTATTATTATTGTTATTGTTATTAATATTATTATTATTATTATCGTTATCGTTATCGTTATCGTTATTATCGTTATTAAAATTATTAATACTATCGTTATCGTTATTATTATCGTAATCGTAATTAACATAATTATACTTTTTATCATTATTATTATTATTATAATTATTATTATTATCGTTATCGGCACGTCGGCCGCACGGAATGGCCGCGGGACACCGCGGAGGGCCCGGGCCCTCGCTTATCTGTCCGGTGCACGCCGGCTCCCGGAGCGACACGCGCACCAATTCGCAGGCCGCAGTGTCGGCCGTCGCGTTGCCCGCGACCGTCGGCGGCGGCGGCGGCGCCGGTGGTGGTGATGACTTTGACGACGACCGGGACGGGGACGGGGGCTGCGGCCCGGTCCGGCGGCTCGCTGCGACCGCGGTGACCGTGGCCGTGGCGGCCGTGACGGTGGCCGTAGCGGCGTACACCGCGGCGGACGTTGGCGAGGCACCGGTTGCGGTCATGACCAACGCTGCGAGCACCATCGGCCAAATGACGACGAGACGGATGACACCGCCGCCGGTGCTGGCAGCGCGCATTGTACCGCCGGAACCGGCGCCACCACTCTATCACAACCGATCCGGCCGTTTCGCCGCGGAATCCGCATTTTTCCTCCTTGTACCTGCAACACACACGGTGAAACGTTTCAATCTCGATACTATAGTAATATTATCCTGATTGAATTTTATCGATTCACATATTTATCCCCGTGTGAATGCTCACAGGGAGGGCTAAAAATATTATATATATATATAAAAAAAAAATGTGAAAATGGAAATGTTTGTCACGCTTGTTCTCTAAAACTAACTTATCCAATTATTGAGATTGATTTTTTATTTGTTTGTTGTCTAAATGATAACATGGCGGAGAAGGTTTTAAATCTATTCTTGATTCTATAAGTTAATGAAAAATCGAGCAATTAGTTTTTTTAAATAATCGAAAAATACGCACATAATGGTATTTTATTTTCATCCGTGTTACCGATTATTAGTTATTATTAGAAATTAGTATTATAGTGAAAAATTGAACAGTAGTATAACAGCACAGATGTTTTCTTTATTTTTGGTTCACAATGTTGAGATTTTATGAACTATTGATTTCTAGTTCAGAATGAAAAAGAAATCAAATTTGGGTCGTTCAACAAAAAAAAAAAAATAATAATAATAATTTAAAAAATGCTGCTGTTAAATGGTCAAAAAAAAAACAACGTTTTGCGGGACAATTACGTAAGGTTGATATTATGTCGAGAATATTATTTACGAGTATACACCAAATCTGAAAACTAATAATATTATATTTGTCCACATGTGTTACGCTAAATGTTAACATTAAACGACCAAATATAATATGGGTGCATATTGTACGGGCAACGAAGCGCATGGGAATAGTTAGTACAATATTAACATGATATAATATACAATTAAAAGTAAATTAATATATAAACTACTAAAAAATAATTAGTTAAAAAACTAAATTTATATTATAAACCTATATTTTCTTTATAACTTCTTAACCTTAATTAGTTTAATTGGCAGTTGAAATAACTAGCTTTTTCAGTTGATTTAAAAATAATCCATCAAGTTAAAATTATAAATGTTATTCAAATTTTCGGTTTTAATAGCCTTATACTTTATTAATGGTCGAGCTATAATAGTAATTACCAACAATAAATAAAAAAATTAAATGGTCTTTTATATTAATTAATTACTGAACACACGATTTAAAATCAATATAATCGAAATCTATAATAATTATACTACAATATTATTGCTGTTAGGTTTCTTGATAAAATAATGTTATAGAAAAATAGTCACAAAATTCTCTTTGTGTTCCACATATTAATCTGATAAGTATATTTGGTAACTTGTTTTCAACTGAGTCAAGTTCATATTTTACTTTTATTTTATTTTTTAAACTTAACAAGTTAAATTTATTATTTTTTAATTATTTAATTAAGTTGATTATTTTTAATAACTTGTTCATATTTTTTATGACACAGTTAATAGTTAAAATACTATAGCCATACTGGCATCTTCTCTTATAAACGGTGCTAGATAATAAGTCTAATATCATCATTTTTTTTCAATTGTGATAATATTAATTAAATTAAAACCGTGCTTAGTATACGAGTACTAACATTAAAAAAGTAAAGTACAATAACATTTTTTTTTTTAATTTTTTAATAGAAAATATGATAAATATAATGCTAATGTACATACAAGGAATCATAATTAAAAATAAAATAAAGCCAACATATAAACGCTATAATTAAAAATGTGAGCGATGAGCTTGTACGAGTAAAACATTCAGTTAAGACTGTTAAGAGATACAGGACTTTTATTACATATAAATTAAAATTATTTAGGATGTTAAATTATTAGGATATGTTTTCATTGCAATTATTATGTATTCAAATTGATAATGTAAGATAAGAGTACGATAACACTTCATAAATAAATGTAATTTATACAAATAGTAATTAATAATGAAATTAAATCATAACATAATTTTTTCACAGTAACACTAACCACAGAAATTCGCAGACTCTGCCCATTAGCAATTTGTTTAACACTATCAAAAATGGTATTAAAATAATTATACTTAATAATACCAATGACGATGCACCATATTATGTTCATTCACTGTGTTAAAAACTTAATCTAAAACGAATATACACATATTGGTATTATAATATGCGCATGTATTTATTTTATATATGTCATAATGCCTATGATTACTATATACTACACATAATAAAATACAGATAATTTACGACAAGAATAGGAAGCCAGGGAATCTTTACAAACAAGAAGTAGGCATTCATAAATATTGTTTTACCATGGCTCATAGTATTAGTTATGATTTTTATGGTGAATTTAATAGACTGATACTTAGTTCATTCGTACTTAGATAATTATTATTTAATTTAATTATAATTAAGATACTTTTTTTAACTCAAATAATTTATTAAAAAATAGAAATTTAAAATAACTGAAGTTTTATTGTTAGGCTCATTGTAATTTTAACAATTTTAAACTTTTTTCTTAATTTATTACTTATCATTTAATTATCTTGTATAATAATATATTCACTTTACACTCAGTAGTCTTTAATTAGAGCGGAATGTGTTTTGCGCAATTTTTGATCCTTTAATCGAATAAATTTATTTTTACTTTAAAGTTTACAGCTGGGATAAATAAATTATTTATATTTAACTATAATAAACATAGACGATGTATTATAATTTATGTCTGAAAACTTAACTAAAACTGTAGCAGGTGAACATAAATTTATAGAAGAGTGTGCATTATATAGGTCAATCAAAAGTAATAAGGAAAAATAATTTAAATTTCTATAAAACAAATATGAACAATAAAACACTAACCGATTGTGTACTATTATAAAATTTACATAATTAATGATTGGTATCTGATCAAAAAAAAAAAAAAAAAACTACCTAAAAACAAATCCTAGCGCACATTATAGGTGCTCATTTATATATTTGAAAAACGAAACTATAATTATGTATAAACATTACGAGTATATACAATTTAATACTCAGGTGGATTACAACTTTCATCCGAGATACTCACTAAAATGGTCGCAAAAATAACGTGAATATCTTTGAAAAAGTCAGATCAAAAATAATATTAAAACTATCAGATAAATATTTGATTGTAACAACTTTTATAATTGTGTCCTTAAAAACATACTCTCTTTTTAATTTCACTTATAAATAATTATAAGATATAATAGATAAAATTTAAGGATTATCATTCCAAAAAATTGTAAATAACAAAAAAAATCACGTGATATGATTCTTTTTTCCTCGTCCGTGAATATAGTATAATGCAAATTAAAAAAAAAATATAAAAAAGTTTCTTTGTCATATTATTTTTGTGAATTTTCAGAGTTAAGATCTATTACGCTTGCAATGAATACACTTTACTATAACAAGGAAAGGACCATCAACTCGTTAAAAGATTTGCATTTTTTATAAGATTACGTGTATACGAGTTTTGCCTATAGTGTCATAAAAAAGAGTGTCTAATCTTCATTTATAACCGTTTAAAGCTTAATACAATTTGTTTTTAACAACAATACTTCGATGATATAAACAAATAAATAAACTTAAATGATTTTTAAAAATATTAAATAACAAAATATATTTAAAAAATACATTATTTAAGTATTAAAATATGAAACATTTCTATAAATAACGTTTCAAAAAATACTAATAATTTCATTATTACATTACGTTAATTTACTATAAATTATCAAATTTAATAAATAAAAATGTTGTGAAACAAATAATGATATTATAAAAGATCATTCGTGTGGTTGAATTATCAAAGATTATAATACTGCAATAATCGATGATATTGAACACCTACCTATAATTTTATATCTATAAATATTTTATTTTGAATATATCAATATTTGATATATATATATATATAAGTGAGTTTTTTTATACACATATGAATCAAGTAAACTAGGGTCAGCTTCAGTATTAACACAAACAAACATTTTGTTTTTTCAGTGTAACTTATGAGGTACTTGACAAGATCGTTTCTAAAACCTTTCCCTGTTAACCAAAATCCTTATTCGAATTTAAAACAAAGGATCACCACATGACATGTCTAAACACAACCCACAACCCGTTTAATACGCATTTGGTGACGTGTGCAAAACCTGAATCAGACGTCAGCTTATACCTTTCAGGATCTCTATCTCATTCAAGGATAAAAAAAAGAGTAGTTGACAAGTTCAGTCACAGATTGTGATCTTGGATTGATTGCTTTCGGATCTTTAAAAGCCATTTTTAAAATTTTATGCGTCAAACATATTGTGTAGTATTCTATCTGCTCACAGAAAAAATAATTAGATTGTTATTCAAATTTGACTAAAATTAATCTAAAGCGAATTACACGACATTAAATGTACTGCATTTTGATTAAAAAAAATTAAAATTGTATATTATTTATGCTAATTTCTCATTTTTATAAACCAGCTATTAACATTTTGATTGTTTATAATTACAATTAAGATTCATCTTAAATTATTTTTTTCTATACATTTTTGTTTTAACTTCAATTCTATATATCATAAATTGTCTATAGTATATGTAAACAAACAAACTATTTTATTATAATTCACATGAAATGAGAAATACAATAAAAGAGTAACTACAAAAATAAATTAAAGTACTTATCGTGATCCTTGAAAAAAAGTACCAATATTTGTGCATTCAAAGTTTGTTTTCAATCAAAAATACGCTTTGTCATCTTAAAAATGATTGTCTGTATCAGAGCTTTACATTTTACATTTTTAGACGGAAACAATAAAAAAAAAATAATTATAAAAATTAAAAATAATTATTTGATAATCCTATTAAAAACAAAAAAAAAATGTTTCACTACTTTATACGTTTATTATTTTACAATTCAATAATACTTTCAATTAAGTAAAAAAAAAAAATTATTATTAAGTGTACGCATATCGTGTATCTCACTATTGTCCAAACTAAATTGAATAATGAAAAAAAATATGCAAAATTGTCAAATTAAATATTAAAATAAACGATGTCACCAGCTTATCGATTCGTAATGCTTGAAACGGTATTAACACGTCATATATTTTAGTACCTGTCAGCTTAATTTTTTTTTTTTTTTATATATCACCGTTGTCTATTATGTATAAAATATATAAGATATAAGACTTAATGTGTTGCATTATGGATAATAATCATGTTCACTGATCATCAAAACATGTAACGTTTAGTACATTTAATACACATCACTAAGTCCAATAATATACACGTCATAATATGATGTTTATACTACAAAAATACCGCATACGATATAATTTATATATTATGTAATATTTTAACAGTTATATTATACACCTGTGTACGATGTTTATGTTTCATAAAATATAATGATGCGAGTATCTCATAAACAATATTATTATCGACTGAAGGTAATAGTAATAATATCGTTTATAAATCCGGTAGTAGTTCGACACCATTTTTTTCGAAAATATGCGTGTAATACCGATATCGTATTGCGCCGTTACACCAGGTATACACTATACGACACTTAAAATAATTTAATAAACACACACGTTAAGTAATCATAAAATATCGCCCTATCTTATATTATGTATTGTGATCGCGGTACGTTTAATATTTAATGTTCAAACCGAACTGGGGTGAAAATAACCCTAACGGCAGAAACGATTTATATGTGTGTATTTAATCCTGCCACCGTCTAGGGGAGTAACCCCTAGTGTACATATTGTGGTGTTTCTACAGTGATAATAATAATAATAGCAAGTGTCACGTCATCCGACAAAGGTATACACTACACCCACACACACGATATTACAATGACACCTTCATGTTTAACTATTCGACGGGCTGTTCGTTTTCATCGGCACGTGTGACCCGCCGTATTTACGCGGTAGCCTTGAATATCGCATTACGGATTACCTCGGGATGTGCAGCTATGGCTGTGTGACGTGTTGGGGAAGTGTGACAGATGGCCGGACGGGCGGATCGGATGGTGAGTAGGTGAAAGGACCGGTAAAGGCTCGCGAGAGTCGGAGCACCGTTTCCGAGAAAATTACTGAAAACAGTGTCTGAACAATATTCAAAAGTTCGAGTAAGTGTGCACATTTATTGTTGTGCGCATACAATGTATATGCACTTATAGACAAGAACACAGTATTATTATATTCACGTCACATACTCTCGTTAACTGTGCACTGTCTACAGCACTTGAAATTAACATTGTCTGATCGTATAAGGACATTCGAACCGCATACATTATAATATGCGTCCGAATTTTCTCGCTGTAAACGCGTTGTCCTATACTGTAATATATCCGGCGAAATACGCACATCGAGGACCATAAATTTTAAACGCACGCGTTATGTGTAACGTCAAAAAAAATTGTCAAAAAGCCAAGCGCTTATAACCCATTCGTGCATAACGACAACGATGCCGATGGTAATATATTATTGTTACACCGTTATAAAGGTACAGCAATAATATGTAATATATATTATTTTAATGACATATTATAGTACCCACCTATATACGATTTAATACATAAATATGATTACGAGTGATAATGGCGTGCACGGCACATTTCCGTTTTATTGTCTTATCGATTTTCGTAGCCGCGGGGACGTGAAGGAGGCGACCGAAACGAACGCGCGATGCACATAATAAAATGATATTATCACCGTCTCCGGACGGTTCGTCGTAGTCCCCGCATAGGTATGTAAATATTACGCATTTTTTTTTATATTTAATAATTAATTAACTCAGCGTGATGATGACTAGACAGTTACCGTAACGTGATTTATAATGAACTACTTGACAAACACGTATCCCCGGACAACCGGCGGTAGATGGGATGGAAAAGAGACGACGACCGAATTTACAAAATATGATTTTCTGTACCAGCCATACTACGAAAGGGCAGAGAGCGTACGGTAGAAGAAGTAAACCCTGCACAATAAAATTTCCCAAACACAATTATTGCGCAGTAACGCAATTATAGGTGAACGGCATTTATGTAACTATAGTTGAAGGTTCGAGTTTCTCCCTCCAAATAATAGTAGTGAGATGAATAATTAATATTTGCAGTGACTCGGCGACTGATCGGTTAAACATTTACAGAATCATAACGCAGTTTTATATATTTTATCATACATTACGTCGTCTTATAATTTATACGTTTCTAAAGTATATTTTAGTATAACATGAAATGTGCGCGTTTGATCGAGTAGTTGATCTTAAGTGTTCCTCGAAATCGTTCCATAAACGCATAGGTATTAAAGCAAAAATTAGCAAAAACCGATCGTTTAATGAGAAATAACTTCAGGCGCTATCCAACACAAAATTATAAGCTCGCGGATCTCGCTAATAGATTTACGACTGATTTGAGGTGGGCATTGTCAAACGAGTACAAAGATCAGAATACAAAATTAGCGTGGTGATCATTACTTGACGGATGAGTCGGTAGCGCGTAGTGGTGGCGGTGGCAATGGTGATGGTGATGTTGTACAACAGCTGCAACTGCCTGGGGAAACGACGATTTGACGACTGCGGAGATGCGTTGTAGCGTCGTGTCGACGCCAGAGATCATGTCTCGTCGCCGGGCTGGTGACCCGCACAATCGACCATAACAACACAGAACCCGCGACGGCGGCGGTCCGCTGTCCGCACACGACGACGACGTTGCCGTAAAACGGTGCGGGCTACGCGGCGGCCCATAATATCAGTGTAGATGGTGGCGTAACGCGGCTGACCACCGAGTCGTTGTCGCCGCCACCGCTGTAGTGGTAATAATAGTGGTTAGAGCACCGGTAAACGCAATAATGGTTAAGGTATCGTAAACGTCTGAGGTAATAGTTGCGATGTTTGTATTAGTAGTATTAATAGTAGTATTAAGAGTAGTAAGAATAGTATCGGTTGTCGTAATGTCGGCGGTCGTTGTGTAGTCGTCGGATGTAGTAGTAGTAGATACGGCGGCGGCAGCGGCAGCAATAGAACAGAACTCAGCGACTGTGACAGCGGCTGTGGCGGCAGCACGAGTAATAGTGACGACGGCAGCGGCGGCGGCGGCAGCGGCAGCGGTAGCGTTAGTAGCGGCGGCAGCGTTGGTAGACATTGACGCCGCGGCCATCGTCGCGTACGTCGACGACACCGCCGGCGCGGTCATGACCACAGTGGCCGGCGCGCCAGCGTTCGGCGTTAACGTGCGCTCCAATCTTTATCTCTTTCTTCCGGAATCAACGGATGTAAAGGGATGAGAGACGATGAGAAATCGAAAACCTAACTACGCGACCACGTCGTGATTATGTTACTTGTTGTCGTCGTCGTTTAAACGTCGTTTGGTCGTCGTTTGGTCGTCGTCGTCGTCGTCGTCGTCGTCGCTTTTATCGATATCGTAAAACGATATTTTATTGTACGCTTCCGGCCGCGACGATCGTCGAACGAGCCGATATCGCTGCTGAGCACGGACACGCGGACACGCGCGCAAACACCCGCCCGACCGCACGCACACACACACAGACGCCGAAACACGCGCGCCGTAACACGCGGCTGCGACGAGAAACACTTGCAAAAATCGGTGGGGGGCGCGACCGTGAGCGAGACTACTCTATACTGCACCGCGTACAGGACCGGGGTATAATATATAGAGTGGAGCGGCGCGAGAGGGCGCCGCGGCGGTGGCCATTTTTCGCCGCCGGCCGATCGATATGACGCGCACGCGAAGCGCCCTCCTCTCCTCCATGTCACGCCGCACGCGAACCCGACGTGGTTTTCCCCGGCGCCGGCGCACGCACGCGCCACCGCGGTTTATACCGTGTGTGTGTGTGTGTGTGTATACTTGTGTTATATATACATGTACATCATCAGTACACGGATAGATGTATATATATATATATATATATATAATTTATATGTATATGTGTAGGTCGGGCGTGGCGAAAATCTTTTCGCATGGTGGTGGGTGGTGGGTTGAGAAGTGTAGCTATGTGGGTGACTGCGAGGGGTAGTGAGGTGGTATATATATATATATATATATACTGTATAAACGAACGTGCGGGGCGACCGCTGCACCGCCACCGCACGATATTTTATCGGCCGACAGTGAAAAAAGAGAACCACTACGGCGGCGGCAGCAGCGGCGACGTCGACGACGACGACAACGACGACGACGACGAACACTGTAAACGGCAACGAGCGGTAATAGTGGTGGCGTTGGCGGTGGCGGTATATCAGGATGAAAAAAAACCTCTAATAGATAATGTGTTCACTTTCTTTCAACCCCCGAACCCCGCACTCGCTATCTGCCCGTCGCTCTCGCCCACATTTATCGCTCTCGCCCATTTCTCTCCATCGCTTCCCTTTCACGCTCTCTCGCCCGCCGTCTACTCTCTCCCTCGCACTACCGAAACAGCATACGATCAGCTGCTACTTCTGCCCACGCACCTCCGGTTCCGATAGTTCTGGACACATTCGATCACGGTCGGTCGTAAAACGAAAATATATATAAAAAATAAAATTGAAACAATCGCCACCCTCGACCCGTTAGGCCGCCTCCGAGCACGGTGCCGACTTGATTTTATTGCGGCTCGTGAATCAGTCGAAACTGAATTTTCACACGAAATACCTACATTGCACCTATGTACATTAATAAAATTAATAATGTTTTCAAAATCCCTTCCTTCACTCTTTCACAAATTATTACAATAGAAATAGTAAAAACCGCAATATTTTATTTTATCTTTTCGAAAATAGATACTCACAAGATATTGACCAGTTTTCACATAGCTTAAATAACGTAAAAATATTTTATGAATCTATTATACAAATTAATAACAAAAAAAAAAAAACAAAAACAAAATATATCGTTTAAAATGAGTCGCAGTTTAAATTCAACGCATATAGTATAATTCTTGAAATTACCATTTATGATTCAATAGTGAAAATAATTTCGGTAAAAAGCCCAACTGTAACAGATAAACAGATAATAACAATAATTTATAAATTTAAAAACTAATAAGCATAAAGAAAAACGGACGATGGGCGGCTCCCACAACTATCTCCCCTCAAATATAACACAAAATGCGTTTTTATTATTATCGCTGTATGCGGTCGTTTTGTCACTGATCATTATTATTATTATCATCGGATCGGTGAACAAAACGTATCTTTGACTACTCGGTATGAAAAGCTGATAAAACTCGCCGGTAGTTGCTTATTGAAAAACGTTGTACAATATACATATTTGTGTCAAAAATAAATTCGCTAGATGAGCAAGAAGACAAGGAGCATTTCATGTTTCAATGACTAAGACATGATTTCTTATTTAATAAAAACATGATTCTTTAATTTGACACACAAAGTTATCTAATTCTGTTGTCGCATTTGAAATATGACGCATTCATCATAGGAATCATACATATTTTGTCTGTAGTCTATACAGTGTACTCTCATCATTTCAGTACCTTATATTAATAACATGATACTTAAATGATTTTAAAGTAATATATTATAAAATTCGGATTAAAAATACTTGGGTATTTCCAATATCATTGCATTGTTTATATAATATTAATCCTATCAATTATTAATACTGAACTATTTACTTCTAATCAATATTTTTATTAATATTTTAGTTAATTTGCATTATTATAATAAAATACAATAACCCACATTGACACGCAAATAACTTCAAATTGTCACCTTGACGAATTATTAATTTTAAGTGAAATTTTTATGGTTTATATATAATTCTGCATTTTTAAAAATATACTCTCATAGAAAACCGATTAAATGAATCTTTTAATAAAATAGTTTCTTCGTATCCCAACCGATATTTTTTTTTATTCGTATAATACAATATATTTTTTTTATGAATAAATTACAAAAATGTATTTAAAATAAGTATGTTATATAGGTATTATTTTTTTATAAATATGAAATGATATAGTATTGTTATAGTTATTATTAGAATTTTAAAAAAATAAATAAAATTAATTTTCGTTTTTTATTTAACTGTTTTCTAATTTAATTATTAAGCTTTTAGTTAATCAATCGAACAATAATATTTCATGATAAACAAGAACAGGATATTTGGTAAAACCAATTTTAATAGGAATTTAATAACTAACTTTATTTAAAATATAATAAAAATAATTTGATATTTAACCGATAATTTATCATAATCAAAAATAATTATTTAAACTGATTTAAGGAATTAAAAGTTTTAAAAATAATATTCTACTGTTTAAAATGAAAAATAGAGATTAGGTTAGGTACATGTTTTTGGGTATTGTCGTTATTTTATAAACATTTCTGCAAAATTGTATTAAAATTTAAAAATTTGTATCACTAAAATAATAATAATTAATGTATAATTAATGTTTTATTAATGCATTAATTAACGTTATTTCAACTTAAAACATTCAGAATATTAATGAACCATTTATGAAATAAATAATGTATACTATATAAACTCGAAAAAATATTAGTCCAAAAAAGTAAAATTTAATCAAACCGAAAAAAAATCAACAATAAAAAATTTACCAATTTAGCAATGTCCATTATGTAATTGAATTATTAATTAACTACCTCTAATCCATTTTAACTCTGAACCAAAATGAATACAGCTATTTTTAATGTTGCAGATTTCAAACAAAATATTTTTCATTCGTCTTTCAAAAAATTATAATTCTAAATTCTACACTAACTTATAATTGATTTTACGGTCTTAAAATTATTAATAAATTGTAATTTGATTTTTAAAAATATATTGTTTTTATTTCATTAGCCAATTTCAATTTTAGTTTTAAAAATAAAAAGTTTTAGCAATTATAATTTATAAAAGTTCCTATACTATCATAATTTTAGTTCACACTTAGCCTTTATAACAGTTTACATTTATAAGGAAATATATATTATAAATATTTAAATTATGAAAAATAATATATCAAAGAGTTTTAAATTGAATATGGCGTATTATTTAAGCATTTTCTCTAAATAAAAATATTATTTATGTACTAAAACTTCAATATAATATATATTTATATTTATTTTAATATTATTCACTTAATGAATTATAAAATATATTATTTTAATAACTTTTTTATGTTTTCCCTCGTTTTATTTCGTTTAAAAGTAATGATATTAATCTATTTGCGTGATAAGGACCGTTTAAATCTATTTAATTTTCAGGCGTAATACCCATTATCATTGTCTGAACGGTTTCTTGGCATCCGTTCGCAATTCTATACCATTTGGTCTGTCGCCGTTAAAAAGCCACTCCTTTCTATATAAAATAGATAATTTTCCTATAGAATTACCCTAATGTATAAGATAATCGTTTTACGTATAAGGAAATTATTTACGGCCAAAATTTTATAAGTTGTTGGAAATAGTAAAAATATATATATATATATATATTTTTTTTTTAATACAAATATAATTATTGCTTATAAGTTATAATTAAATATCTCTATTTACAATATTTATCAAATTAGTACAATGCAATCAGAGTAAATCAACATTTTGAATATAATTATTTAACAATAATAATACTACACAAATATACTTGTGGTTTGTTTTTGAAACGCTATACATTTTTATATAAATATTAGGTCCTTTTGAACCTAAAAAATATCTACCAAAAATTATAAAATCCCCTATTTTAAGTATTTCGTTTTTTTTTCATTTTATACAAGTTAAAATATCAAATTATTTCGTTACATTTAAATTTTTCCACTTCAATCTCGTTTACCATAAATTAGGTACCATTCTTGATAATCCCAGAATTATTTTAAACATTATTGAACTGTAACAATTTATTGGAAATACATTAGTAACGTGAGTGTCTTATAATAATAAGAAACTTAACATGTTCAAACGTAATTTAATTTAAAAAAAAAAAAGTTTACTTCCCCCTAGTATTTTTTTTTTTCATTCACATGAATGAAGACTCCGCTGAAAGCTGAAATTTTCAGCTGTCCTATCATATAGTCTATTATAAATTCACAAATAACGCATTTAAGCTCCATAAAGTTAATTTACAAAGATCTTTACCACTTTATATGAAAGGTATACTTATGTAACTACACTAAGATGAAAATTTAAATTGTTTCATTATTTAGGTAAATGAATTTAGTTTTAATATTCAATAAAATACTTAAGATAAAATATTTAAATTTTACGATCACGTGAAATTCTATTGTAATTGATAAGTATGGTCATATTAGTTATTACTTATGATAACATTTTTTACCGTTGTCACTGCTCAATCAAAGTGGTTACCCGTAATTTCAATAAATCTGTAATCGATAAAGTTATCGAGGTAGCTCTAGCTCGATTATTAGATTTATTGTCAATAAATGTGCATAACGTTCACAATTGTGTAAATTACCCTTTAACTCCAACTGTCTCATTAGTTTTTTTTTTCAATATCAATTAAAATCTAAAAAATTTACCGGCTAAAATAATATTTAATTCAAAAATCATTATTAAAAAAAATATGTTAAAGCTCATCAACCTTATTATGCAAGTGGCGTTAATCATCATACATTTTGGTATAACCCCTCACATTATGTTACATGAACCGCAATAATGTACATCTTTAAATTAATATGA